GGATGTTACACTGCAAGTAAGTTATAGACTGAAAGTTCAGAGGTGGAGGGGGGCAATTTAACTCCAGAAAGGACAAGAGACAGATAACTCCTGAATCCCAGAGCAGTATGAAAGATTATATTGCAGAAGAGAGATTGTCTAAATCTGCAAGAAGGAGGTGGATGAGCAGGTCAGGAAAGCTTCAAGGATGAGATAACTTTTAAGAGGAATCTTGAGCTGGTGGCCAGGAGGCAGGCTTATAGAATGTTCTCTTTGGTTGTTTACATGAGTATATATTCCTGAGTGTTTTTATGTACATCTTTCCCACCCCCATACACACACAAAAAAAAACAAAAGAGGGAATAGAAGCAAATACTGTTAAATGATGATGCACAGAGGAGATTGCAATCATTGCAGTGAAATGATGGTGTACAACCGATATTCTCCATGTAAACTATTACTCAAGTCACAATAAAAACTTAAAGAAAAACAAAAAAAAAGGAATCTTGGAGGTGAGGAGAAACCAAAGAGCAGGTCACACTCTTATGGGAAGTGGGGGACAGAATCGGTCAGCAGAGTGGTTCCCAGGGAGTTTCAAGACCTCCCATTAATAACAATCTCAACCATAATTTCAATCTTCCTATTCCCTCTCTCTCCATATTGTGGGAATGAGTGTCCTTTCTTCAAATTGATTGTAATCTTGTTTATTGTATTCAGATAATATTTCTTTTTAATTTTTATCCATTACTACTTCTTGGAGGAGGGACTCTCCAATTTCCGTAAACTCCTCTAGCAATTTGAAATAGCTAATCAAATAAGAACAAGATTGTGTGTCCTAGCAATTTGAATTAGCGAACCCGGTAAGGACACGACTGTGGGTCAAAGCCCTAGCCAGTGGGTGAGACACAGCGTCAGGGATCAAAGACAGGACAGCCCACCACTCCGTGTACATGCTAGCCAGACTTGGTGCTGCCATACATCCTTCTACAGAAGTAAAAGATGCCTTGCCGAGATTCTTTTGTTCTACTGTGTCTCTGTTGTGACATCGAATCACGTTTCTAACAATATTAATGTCTGCTTATTCATTTATCTCCTGTCTCTTTGCATATCTCCCCACATAACTCGTTCCTTGTCTCTATCTTTCTCATCTATTTATTTCTCTTCTCCCGGTCTCTCTCTCTCTCTCTCTCTCTCTCTCGTTTTCTTTTCCTCAGTCTCTCTTTCTTTCTCTCTCTTCCTGTCCTTTCATGCGCTCACTCCCCTGACTTCTGGAGCGTAGTCCACTCCATCACCAATGCCACCCTAGTCCAGGTTACTGTCATCTCACATGTCCAATTGGACAGCCTTGCAACGTTTCTTCTCACCTCTATCCTGCCTCCCTCCCATCAATTCTCCACTCCAAGTCCTTGACAAAGTAAATATTTTAAGTTACAAATCTGATCATGACATTCCCTTGATTGAAACTCAGGGTAAAGACCAAATTTCTCACTACAGCCTACAAGGTCCTGCCCACTCTCTAACCTCATCTGGCTCCATATGCTCCCTACTCCCTCTCTTCCTACTCAGCATCCCTGGGACAAAGGCATATCTGGTTTCCCTAATGCCATTTTACAGATGTGGAAATAGAAGTTCAGATATAATTGTTACTGTTAACAGTCAAGCCCAGTCAAGTCAGTCCTGACTCATTGTGACTCCGTATAGAGTCTCCGAGGAAAGGCCAGTGGGTTTGAACTGCCAACCTTGCAGTTAATAGTCTAGTGATTACCCTACAGCACCACACCAGGACTCAACGCAACCCAGTTCCTCTTTCCAGACAAGTTTCTAGTTTATAAAGACTCTCTCACGAGAGCCCCAGAATCCAAACCACATACCTTGTTTTTAGAATGGGTGGTCATACATGATTAATACAGACCAAATTTGAGGCCACCTCACCCTCCGCCAATCCTAACAGCATCCTGTGATACTCTGATCTACAATGAAAACAGAGATAAACTCATCTCCTGTGCCCTGCATGCTCTGGGTCAGTGGATGCTGGGACCTTTCATTCTTTCAATGCTTATTGGAAATCTACAACATGCAGGGTCTGTTCTATGAGTTGGGAACATAACCATGAACAAAACAGACAAAACCCCATCCCCTTCAAATGTACAGTCTAAGGAGGGAAATAGACAGAAAACCAGCAAAACAACTAACTAAAATGTATATGATATACCAGATGGCGCTGAGCATTATGGAGAAATATATACAGGGGAGGAGCAAAAAAAGTGTATGTTGCTGGTGAGAGGGAGTGAAGATTTCAATTGGAATAGGATTGTCAGAGCCAAGCTCAAGGGCATGCATGCATGTGAGCAGGCTGTGCAGCCCTCTGGAGGAAGAGCCTCCATCTGAGCGGACAGCCAGTGCAAAAGCCCTGAGGCCTGATGCATGATTTACAAGGTCAGGAGATCTCAGAATCCACTAGAAGACGGTGTGGAGGAAGTTGTCAAGTTACATACCTTCCGATCTGGAAAGGAAGCAAAAATGCTTACACACTTGAAGAATGTGATCCCGGACACTGAAATGTATATAAGAAATTGTTGGGATGGCATTCATATGTTGTTGTTGTTGTTGTTAACTGCCATCGGATCGGTTCCGACCCATAGAGACCCTTCAAGGAGCGGCTAGTGAGATTGATTGGTCAACCTCACAGTTCAAACCGACTTTGCAGTCCAGCATATTAACCCACAGCACCACACTGGGATTATGAGGGGCCTTCAAAAAGTTCGTGAAAAAAATTCACATTATCTTTTCATTCCATTTTCCATGAACTTCTCTTTTTTTGCCATTTTTATTAGGAGTCTTAGTTCTGTTTTCATCATAATTGTGCATTGTTTCTTTTTTTTTAATGTTTTATTGTGAATTATGTGATAGTTTACATGGGAGAACATTCGTTTTACATTCATTCTATCGTATATCGTCTCACTGCCATGTTTCCATGAACTTCTTGAAGCATCCTTGTATATTTTCGTCACAATAATAATAATAATAAACAATAGATTGAAAACAACCCTTTTAAAATGTGCAACATGTTCCAAGACAATAAAAAACATTGTATAGACTCCCCCTCTCTGTCCCCTATTTCTCATCTCACACAGGCTCTCTGCAAACAAATCCAGTCCAGAGGTTTTATGAACAAGTGTTTTTGAGCCTCTGTAATACAGACAGTGTGATTTACTGGTCACACACATTGGGGTCTTTGTTTGGGGTTTTGCCTCTAAGTATCCAAGTCCTCATGTGGTGCTGTAGGATAAGCCCTGGAATGCTAAACGCAAGACTGGTGGTTCAAGCCCCTCAGCTGCTCCTAGGAAACCCTATACAAGGTTATTATGAGATGGAACCAACTCGACCGCACTTAACAACAGCATCCATTTCTAACGTCATTGCAAATGTCAGACTTGATATTTGGCCTCACCAGGCTCCATGAGCCTAGGTAATAATGTACCTTCTCTAGAGTGACAGCTGTCTCCATAGTCACTAGACCCCTTTCTTCCTGGACACTTACAAACACATACAAACACCCAGGCCCTTAGTGAGGGCTCTTATATGACTTCCTGACACTGTGTAACTTTGAAGTTGTAACCCTGCCCCAGACAAGTGAACCCCAACCCCAACTCTGAACCCACCCTTGGGAAGCTGCTAAGTAGTGGGAAGTTCTGATGCCCATACCCAGCCAGGACAGGGTCTCCTCTGCGGAAAGCCCAGCCTATCCCATTTTACCAGGGATGGATGTTTTATGGGTGAGGGAGCAGAGGGGGTTCTTAGGTTTCACATGTTCCTGCATGGTGACTACCAGCTCCTGGGCCTGTCCCACTCTGTATTTCTGCAGAATCGTAGACTCTGTGTGGTGTGTGTCGCTATCTTGAGCCGCATATCCACAGACGCTTTCCCTTAAAGTCCTCTATTACCTCAAGAAAGACTCCACATTACTACCCTTCCTACCAATTCACCCCAACTCTCCAACGGTGTCTGGACTCCTCCCGTCCCCCATCCTTGACTTCACCTTTCCTTCCCATCTTCAAATACTTTGTTGTCCCCCAGAGGATTCCCAACATGCGTGCGCGTGTTTGCATGCATTTCGTGCGCCGGCTGGCGACGACACCTGCGTGTGCCCACGTGTGATATGAGAGGGCATCCGCGTGCCATGTGAGTGCGCCCTTACGACTAGGTACTGTATCTCTTTGTGTGCACGTGGGTGAGTCTGAGCGGCTGCAACATCTTCCTCCCAGAGAGAAGAGCGCGCGGGTTCCCAGGCGCTTCTCTTCGCTGGCCTGCATCCTTTTCAAATGCCCTCCGGTTCAGAAAGGGTCCACCTCGGGGCTTCCCAGAGTCGACCCACGTGTACACTCATTTGCACAAACGCGTCCTTGGGGAGCCGGTAAGCTCCGCGCCTCAGGTTCAGGGAAATTAATCACCCTTTAGCATCCTCGCCTCTCCACCCTCCCCCCACATCCCTGTGTGTAGAATCCCGGGTTTGGAGAGAGCCTAGAAGCTCAGGAGAGGGGGAAGAAAGGTGGTGGGGAGGAGAGTGGAGAAAGGCAAACTGAGGACATGCTGGAGGAGTAAGGAGCCGGTGCTGGCGAAGCAGGTCCCACCCATACCACGCCCCTCCCGCGAGGAATGGAGATGTGTTAGTCTGTCCTCCAATCCGTCACCCTGCGGGGCTCCGGGGTCTCACTCCATCCTCTCTGCTGCAACTGGAGCCCACAGTCGCAGCTGGGACCCCCTCCCCCTGCCGCCCTCCCTCCACTCCCCGGGTCCAGGCCATCGCTGATTGGCTGCGGGGTGCGGCGTCCCAACCCGGCTTTGAGGCGGGAGCCGAGTCGGGCCGGGGTGGGAGGCGCCGATCTGGCTCCAGGAGCCCCTCCCGAGTCGGTGCGCCCTGCGCGCTGCAGGAGAGCTGAGCGGGACTCTGGGCGGGCAGGTGCCGCGGGCGCAGAGGGGCCCCGGGCAAGGCTGGGAGCAAATCCTGCGTGGAGAGAGGAGCTGCCGTTCCAGCTGCCGCCACTGCCACCGAGCCGGCGTCCAAAGAGGCTGGCAGGCCGGGGCCAGGAAATAAGGAGCGCTCATGGAGCACACGCACGCCCACCTCGTCACCAACAGCTCCTTATCCTGGTCTCCGGGTTCGTCCTGCGGCTTGGGCTTCGTGCCAGTGGTCTACTACAGTCTCTTGCTGTGCCTCGGTTTACCAGGTGAGGGGTGTGTGGGGGTAAAGGGAAGGAAGCAAATAACCCACATTGCAGGATGCCCCTTGCTGTGCGTCCCCACGGAAAAAGTTTAAGCCTTAAGGGCAACTGCGGGTATTTCCAGACTAGGGGAAAGGAAGTTGCTGCGGGCTGGCGGGGACTGGGCGCGCGTGTGCGCTGGTGTGTACGCGCGTGCGTGTGTGTTTGTATATGTGTGTGCGCGCGCTGTGAGGTGAGTGTGCGCGGCAGACTATGGACTCGGTGTGCGCTTGGATTCCAGGGTGTACTCGTGTATTCCTGCGCGTCCCTGGGGATCCAGTGTATGTGACTTGCCTGCATGTTCAGGGAAGATTTGTGGAGTCTGCATTTCCCCGGTCGCTCCCACCTCTGCCCCTCGTGAATCCGAGATGAAGTGGAACCTCTGTTGTTCCAAGGGCGTTAGGATGGAACAAACGACGGGTCCTGTCGCCTCCCCCCCCACCCCCACCACCGCCGATCAAGGAAGGGGTCTGGAGGTTGCCCACAAGGAGTCAAGAAGGGTGACTGGCTAGGGTGAGGGTGCTGACATAGGCAGGGGACTAAGGCCACCACCTCAAGGGGTCACAGCCTCTTTGACATTCCTCACCTCTTGCTTTGCCGCCTGTCCACGCACGTTGGGCAGCTAGCCGCTGTTGCAGATTTCTGATGATCCCACATCTTCATGTTCTCTAAAGTGCCTGAGACTTGGGCTGAATTCCTGAAGAGAGCCGGACTGCTTGGAGTGTGTGTGCCTGCCTGCGTGTGTGTCAGAAACTGGCATACAGACAATGGGAAGGTCTTCCTGAGGCGCCAGTTTTAGATGGCCCCTTTTCAGCTCATCTTTATTCCAAGAGCGCCACTGAGCTCTCCGTGTGGCAGAACGACTCCTAAAGATCCTCAGGAAGCCCTCGGATCAGCGCTATCCTTTGGCATTGGCGAGCAAAGGGAGGAGAGGGATGGGCAGCCTAGAATCACATCTGCTCCATCATCTGCTAGTCTGAGAACGTTAGCTTCCTCGCATTCCGGGAACTCAAAAACTGAGATTCCCTTTCTAAAAGAGTCAACCAGGTAGCTAGGACCCCTGCTGAGGTCGTATAAATAACACACACACAATTTGGTAGGTACAAGAAAACAGAAGTTTACTAATGTGTGAACCTCTCCCAGAGCGAGTGATGAGGATTTTATTTCTAACTAATCGCTCAGGCGGCCCAGGGAAGGAAGATCTGCTCTGATTCGCCCTGCTGGGGCAGCAGAACGTGTCATTACCTCAAGCTAGATTGATTTTGGTTGTTTGCATCACCCTCCCCCGTCTCCCATTCCAGACCCTTAACCTAGCTCTCTTTGGGGGAGGGAGTGAGTTCTGAGAAGGTTGATTTACCAGGGAAGTGACTGACTCCCTTTCCTCTTCAAACTCTGCCTGTCCCCTTTCTTCATCCTCAACACTGAGGATGTAGCCTCTCCTCCAGTATTTTGTTCTGGAAACTCTTAGGGACAGAGACAAGAAGATCTGGAAGGCTGACCTTATAAGAGTCCCCAGCAGGAATAAGAGGATGGAAGAGGAGGAGGGGGAACTCAGATCTCAAAGAGCTCAAGGTGGATGTTAAGATACTTCAGCTCTTTAAAGCCTGATTCCTATATTAACTAGAGCCTTATTGACCCACATTATTAGCACTTACTGTATACTAGGAGCTGTGCTAGGTACAGACTCTAGAAAGTTAAGCCTGGGCTGGTGACTTGAAAGGAACCAAAGATTGGAATGACAAGTTGGCATTGATCTGGGCACTGAAGCAGACCATGAAGTCATCACAAATGACAGAGTAAGGGCTGAGATTGAAATTTCAAGGGTTTGTGATGTGTTTATTCACTCAGCTTATAGTAATGGCTAACTACCATGTTCTAAGTTCCCTGGTGATGAAAACAGTTTACGCTCGACTGAGGCTCCTTGGTGGTACAATGATTAGGAGCTCAGAGGCTAACCAGAAGGTTGGTGGTTCAGATCAAGGAGCTGATCCATCCTGTGCTCTGTGAGAAAAGAGTGGGTACTAGAAGATGATCTTTGAGAATTACAGTTCTACACTGTCTTATAAGGTCACTAAGAGTAGTAATCGAGTTGATGGCACGTAACAGCATCAATACACTCACCCAAAAGTTGGCAGTTCAAATCCATCCAAGGCCTGTCAATTTACTTCTGAAAGATCTCTGCCACTGAAAAGCCAACCGAGTACAGTTCTACTCTGATGTACATGGAGTGGCATAACTCAAAATGAACTTGACAGCAATGAACTTGAATGATTCACACACACACAAGGTGTGGTGCTGTGGGATAAAGCACTGGGCTTCAAGGGCAGTTTGAACAACAAGGTCGGCGGTTCAAACTCATCAGCTGCTCTTTGGAAACCCTATACAGGGTCCCTGAGTCAGAACCAACTCCACGGCACTTAGCAATAACAACAACTGTATTCCAAGTGCCAAAATGACTCAAAGATTCCTTAGACCCAATTCATGAGCTCAAGCAGCCCATAGCAGAAACACTAAGGATCCTAAAGAAGAAACACCAGGAAGGCCAGGCTGGTACGGAAGTCACAGACTGACTACAGTTTTGTGAATGGTTTGCAAGGTTGGTTCAAAGTTACAATCCTATCTATCATCATGCTCTTAAATCCATAGGGAAGGCAAATCTGTCATGGTGGTTTAGAATGCAGACTCTAGAATGAGACAGAGCTGGGGTTATTATAGTATGAGAACCTTTTGGGTTTCTGTGTCTCAGTTTTCACATCTGTAAAATGGGTACTAAAAGAGCAGCTACCCTCTGCAATTGTGGTGAGAAGTAAAAACCCAGATAGAGGCCACCGAGCGACGGTACAAATTAAGTGCTCAGCTCAGTGCCGGGCTCTCTACCTACTGATTGAGGCTGTGTGGTACTACAGTTGTGGTTCTCACAAAGCTGGTTGGGTTTTTTGGGGGTGGAGGGGCTGCTCCCACCCACCCGTCAGCCAGAGAGTGGACTGGGAGGTGCTGCCTGGCCAGAAAAGCAGTCTGCTCAAGCAATCTGCTTAGTGCATCCATCCAGTAGCCTTGCTCACACCAGATTCCCTGGCTGGCCTCCTGGCACCAACAATTAGCAAGTCCTCATTACTCTGCCTTGGACTACTTGGGTGTGAAGTCACAAACCACAGAACTTCATAATATTCTTGTAAGCTGAGATTTTCATTAAATCACTGTTCCCAGCAGTACACTCACCCAAGGTTTCTGGGTTCTCAGAGGCAGTTGGAGAAGTTGGTGGGAACTGAGCGAGGGGTGGGGAGCAGCTGTAGATTGGGAATGGGGAACAGTAAGTAGGAAAAGGCAGTGGATCTCTGACCACCTTCAGGCCCTATTGGCAGGAAGGGCTTGGGGACTTCTGGGGTCTAATCCTCTGCCTCTAGGGATTGTTTCAGAGCCTGATTTAACTTGGGATCCCCAGGATTATTTCTCCTATGAAGTATGGGTAGAGCTCTATAGCTTAAGTGTTCTTAACTTTTGGGTCACACAACTTTCCCCAACTGTAAAATGGGAATACTGTAGGACCTATTTCACAGAGAGCCGTGGCTGTTATGAGCTGCTGTCCAGTCTGCCACAGACTGATTTGGCGCTGAAGGATAAGCACTGGACCAAAAGGTCAGTTTCTACCACAAGGAAAGCCTATACAGGGTCGCTATGAGTCAGAACCGACTCGACAGCACTTAACAACAACAGTCTGCGGCGGACTCACAGGGACCCCATGTACAATGGAACAAAATACTGCCCAGGCCCATGCAATTCCCCTAATCATTTGTGGATTAGACTCTTGTGATCGGTAGGGTTTAGTTGTCTAAGTTTACCAGGTCTTTCTTCCTCGTCCATCTTAGTCTGGAATCTCCACTCATGTGTGAGACACACTGTTGGGAATCAAACCAGGGTCTCCCACAAGGAAGGATTCTACCACTGAATCACTGCTGCCATGGAATCGATTTCCAATCTCTAAGGACCCTATAGTACAGAGTAGGGTTATCAGGGCTGTAAATCTCTAAGAAAGCAGACCGCCACATCTTCTCCCCATGAAGCAGCTGGCAGGTTCGAATCTACCTTTTGTTTTGCAGTAGAGCACTTTAACCACTGCACCACCAGGGCTCCTGACGGAACCACAGATGGCCCCTAATCACAGAGGGTGGTGCATATTAAATGGCTTAGCATAGTCTGAGCAGGAGGTAAGCACTTACCACTTAGTGCCTTATCTACATCAAACCTTTTCATCTAAATCATTGTACTTATTAAGTGCCATCAAGTCAGTAAGGATTCATAGGGACACTGCAGAGGGTTTCCAGGGAGCAGTTGGTAGGTATGAACCATTGGCTTTGTGGTGAGCAGTCCAGAGCTTATCCTACAGCCACACCAGAACTCCATATAATGGTATTTTGTTCTTGTTGTTAAGTGCTGTTGAGTCGGTTCTGATCCATAGAGACCCTGTATAGGGTTTCCAAGGAGCACCTGGTGAGTTTGAACCAGTGACCTTGTGGTTCAAACTGACCTTGCAGTCCAGTGCTTTTTCCCACCACACCACATACCAAACCTCTGTGTCCTACGCATAACCCTGACCCCATTTTACAGATGAGCAAACTGAGATTCAGAGAAGTGGAACATCTTGTTTACGGCCACACAGCCAATGCAGCCTGCGGAGTCTGCGCTCTCCATTGCAGCGTGCTGCCTTCATTCCTGCCGGGAAGTTAATTGAACTAACCTCAGTTCCTCACGCTGTGTGCTAATGGGGAAAATTGGTATCCCCAGAAAAACCCAGCCAAACCTGATGCTGTTGAGTCAATTCTGACTCATAATTGTTCTGTAGGACTGAGTGGAACTACCCCATAGGGTTTCCAAGACTAATCTTCATGGAAGCAGATATGAGGGAAGTCAAAAACCACTGCTACTGGGGTCCCCTTTATACTCATACACGCACAGGTTTATTCTAGACC